GACTAAATGCCTACGAAGATGCATCGAAGAATATTTGGCACCATCCATCTTTGTAAACCATATGCACTCAATCGCCTTAAAAGGAAGAAGATTATAGCCTATATGTTTTGAACAAACGCAATGCACATAATAATTCAGGGGAAGAAATTCAATGGTACGTAATATGCATGGAAAGAAATATAAGTTGTGTATGCTCATCATGTGTAAACAATTAAATTTAGAGATGAGTATGTGCTTACCAATGCAAGTAGCAAGATATCTATGAAGCAAAATGCCCGACACCTTGCGATCTAGGAGTGCAATCTAGGGGAGTGCAGAAGGAGGATAACAAAAATGTTGATAGAATCAACATGAACACCACAGTCTGTCTTAAATTAAAAAAAGACATATGTTGCATTGCTAACAAACATACTCATGCACATATAATCATTTAACTAATTTAACTATCCATTTTTTTACGAATAACTAATTGAACTATCCAACCCAGAAGAAAACTAAGATAATCTTGTTTCTACGGTATAAGGGAGATGAACAATTATAAATGGTCAACATGAAAGGGATAAAAAATTTTCCTACAGAGTAAAAGTGATTGGTAATCTAAGTTACAACAACATGAGAAAAGCCCATATCCAATTCCATGATACTCTTCAACAACATGCAAACATGAATCGATACCCCTTGCCTCTTTCCGGTTAGTTCATCTAGTACCTATTGGCAGTGATTCAGGTATAATAATATGGGCAACAAAGAGAGTTTTTTTGGATGAGCAATATGTATCTAGAAGAACTATAGCAAGTACCACGAAAATTGAAAGCCTAATTTTTCATATTAGTAGTCTATCATTCCTGCACATGACAAAGTAAGAGTAAGGCACAATCTGGAAAAATGCAAAGAGAGTAAGAGACCTGTGAAGTAATGAAACAATTCCCAGCGGCAAGAGATGTTTGAAGCATAACATGGAGCAGAGCACCTTTGATCTGAAACGCAACCTGAGAAGATTCAAAGGCATAAGCATCTTGATGAGAAAATCATAGGCTGCTCGAAACAGAGAGTGTGCCGCTACCAGGCCGGAGGCCTCTTTCCAGATGGGACGCGAGAAGGCGTCTGTGATGACGATGGCACTACATAGGGGTATTTAAACCCACTTTCTTCCGCATCTGCAGGGTAATGAAAGGCGAGGTAATGAGGGGAGGAATTGTGTGGTGCGGCAGGCCGTTTCATGTGCATTTGTGGCTGGGATATCATACGCCGTGGAGGCAGAAGGATAGTGGTGGCTATAGAGCGGTAGCGGGAAGAGAATTAATGCACGGGAGATCGTCGGTCGTTGCGGCGACGGCATGTGGAGGAGCCTCGGTCGCGGTGGTGGTGGCAGGAGGCTGAGGAGCCTCGGTCGCGGCGGCGCCATCTGGCCAAGAGAGCGTCGGGCATGGCGGAGGCTGACCGGAAGACTGGCCAGGGAGCGATCAACATGGCGGTGGTTAGCCGAGGGATAGTCCGGGGAGTAGTAGCGTCGCGCCGGCGGCTGGCTGGTGGACTGGGTTGGGAGCGGCGGCTGGATGGGGCAAATAGGGTGCACGATGGAGGATAATATTTCTGACGTGATGTGGGTAGGATACATGGGCTATTTGTTTTCCACGGGCTAGAACGTGCTCAAATCCCACCAACTACCAGCCCACCTACGAAAATTTGACCGAAGGCCTAGGAAGCGAGCGGGACAGTACCAATGAATGAATCGTTATTTCCCACTTAGCGGTGGCAGGTCTTAGTAAATTTCATCAACTCTGATCAGACGGCTCTAGACTAATGAGGTATACTACATCAACGGTTGTAACAATTGAAATGACGTGGCTTCATTAGGAGGCAGGAAAATCAGCTAGTGGGGTGCCCCTATTTAAATATAGAAGATTAAAACTTTACAGGTTGGCATCGCTATCTCAAGTTTGGAATTTAGTATTGCTAATCGGTTGTGTGTGATCTTAATAAGATGACCAGTTAAAATGTTACGTGGCGTGTAGTGGTCTCCCATAAATATGATGTTCTACAGAATTCAGACGTACCGGAAGCGCCACGCTAACTCGAGATAGGATTAGTTCAGGTTTCTTCCATATATATGAAATGACACAGCGGTGACTAATTAAGAGAGACACAACAAACCACTTATCTTCCTTTTATGATGCTTTTATGATGCAGCTGATCTTTATGGTTTTGTGGTTATCTATGTCACAGTAGCCATACCAAATGGAGTGGCCTTTGTGGTAATCCCTATGTTTGCCTGCATAAAGGATATAGCCACCATGTATGACCTCAACAGAGAACTGGTTGCTTAGGGGTCCTGCAAAACGTTCAAAGTTGCAATGTTCAAACAAGATAAACAGAGACATTTATGAAGGTTCAGTCAAGCTGAAAATATTCAATTAACTCCAAAAGTTCGGTTACTGTATCAAACCACCAGTAGCTCAGTTAACTGATTAAGCAGGACCTAACCAAGGGTACCAAGCAAGCAGTAAAGTAATGTAATTGGATCAAAACAAGCAAAGTGGCAATGCTCAGTGTCAATGTCCAATTATTGTACTAAATCAAGTTCAGACATGTCAATATTCAGACAGGTTAACACATATAAATGCAGTTATCTTACAGAGCAAATTTCATACATGTTGCAGAAAGAAAGCACGGATTCATGGCCTCCATTGACCAAATATATGATCTTTCATGGGCAAAATGATCATCTCATGCGCAAAACGATCATCTCATATCATTATCAACAACCAGGCCATATAAAGCAAAGAAACAGGGGAGAAACGAGCATGGCCTCCCCCTAACATGCTCCAAAATCAAACCCTAATTTTGCTATGCAAACCCTAGACCATCTCTAGATACAAGATCCATAGCACATCAGAAACCCTAGCTTTGATCTGTGGCCCTGCTAAACGTCCTCTGCTAAAACCCTAAACCCTACACCATTGGTGGCAAAAAGGGAGAGAAATAGCCCAAACCCTAGCAGCTGTGCGCAATTGACTCGCACGCAAGCTCTTCCCCGGAGCTTTCATGGACAGATCAAGCACAATACCTGCCAGCGACGGTGACGTACCATAGAGGGGTGGCGAGGCATGGTCGTCGCGACGCGACGGTGTGAGAGGGACGTCATGCAGGCCCCTCCCAAATGGTGCGGACGGCGGCGGCGCAGCGCCGACGATGAGCTCATGGAGCCATCACCATGCTCGCCCACGCTAGAGATGACGAACCACCTCGGCGGCGACGACGAACCAGGGGAGAAGCGAGAAGCGGGAGAGTGGCTCGGTTCGGCAACGGTTGGGCTCGGTCCGAGCGGGTGTGGCTCGATCCGACCAGGTGTGCGACCGGGTGGGGAGGGGGGGGCAGATCTTTTAATAACTGCCAGTTTTGCAAAAAATAATTGTGTGCATGCGTAATCGAGCGGCTGGGCACATGTGGCAGTCAATGCACACTTGGCATCGGTTGACTCGAGCCAGCTCAGCGCATACGTACACAAAACCGTATAATGGACCATAGATGACCCCTTAGAGCAAGTTTGGTGACTGTATTTTGGGTATTTGTAACCACAGGGACTAAAGCTAATGCCAGCGCAAGTAAATGGACCTGTAGTGAATTTTTCTCTTTGAGGAATGGAATCTTGCTCCACTTTGGATCAATGGCGTACCTAAGCGGTGTGCCATGACACACCTAGAATTTTGGGATTTTTTTTACCATGTACTCCCTCCGTTCTTAAATATTTGTCTTTTTAGAAATTTCAAATGGACTATCACATACGGATGTATATAGACATATTTTAGAGTGTAGATTCACTCATTTTGCTCCGTATGTAGTCACTTGTTAAGATCTCTAGAAAGACAAATATTTAGGAATGGAGGGAGTAGTAATAATTAGCTGATTTTCAAGGCCCATCCGAACCAATTGAAATAGACCCTTTTTTAGAAAAAAGTGTACACGCATTCCTTTTTTTTTCTGGGTCCGTCCCTGCTTTGGATCATAACACTTTATTTTAACCACAAACTAAGCCCAACCCCACAACAAATGATGCAAATCCCAATTTGGTATATGGTGCAATATCACGCAAATCTTCTTTACAAGTTAAACTTTAGACGTTGGCATTGGAATCCCAAGCTTGGAATTTAGTACTACTAATCAGTTGTGTGATCTTAAGAAAATACCAAGCTTCTAAATTAAACAACAAAAAGGTCACGATACATGTAGCAAACTCCACATAAATCAGATGTTCTAGGGGAACTAGCAGAAGTGATGAAAAGCACATATTAATATATTATCAGTTTTGTCATCTTCTAGGGGTAGCGTTGGATATGCCGCAGTGTCATCCGTTGGATCATAAACTTTAATTTGACCACAAGTTAAGCCCACACCCCACGGCAAGTGATGCAAATCCCAATTAGGATTTGTCATGCAATATCATGCAAATCCTCTTTTTCTAGTTAAAACTTTACACATTGGTATAGCTATATCTCAAGCTTGGAACTTAGTACTACTAATCAGTTGTGTGATGAGAATCCTAATTATGCAATGCCATGCACATCTTCTTTACTAGTTAAAACTTTAAAGGTTGGCACCGCTATCTTAAGCTTGGAACTCAATATTGCTAATCAGTTGTGTGATTTTAAGAAAATGAACAATTCTTTTAAAATGACCGGTTAAAAGGTTACGAGGCGTGTAGTGGTCTACCACAAATCCGATGTTCTACAGAACTCAGACGTACGGGAAGATCAGACCGGAAGCGCCACACTAAGCTGATAGGATAAGCTTAGGTTGCTTACATATATACGAAATGACACGACAATGACTAATTACACAAGAGACAACAAACCACTTATCTTGCTTTATGACGCAGATGCTTCGATCCTTAGCATGTGGCTCCCGTTAAATAGCCACAATTCACCCATGAAAACAACACTTCCCAATCACCCATCTTTCTCTCAACTCTAACAAAAGCCCAACGAACCACTACCCCAGCCATGGCAACCACCCTCGCCACCGACGTCCGCCTCTCCATTGCGCACCAGACCCGCTTCGGCTTTCGCCTCGCCTCCACTATCTCATCCAACCCCGAATCTACTACCAACAATGTCGCATTCTCTCCGGTTTCCCTTCACGTCGCGCTCAGCCTCATCACCGCTGGCGCGGGGGGCGCCACCCGCGACCAACTCGTTGCTACACTGGGGGAAGGCGAGGCTGAGAGGCTCCACGCGCTCGCCGAGCAGGTGGTGCAGTTCGTGCTTGCCGACGCATCCTATGCCGATAGTCCGCGCGTCGCCTTCGCTAACGGCGTCTTCGTGGACGCATCGCTGCCGCTCAAGCCATCCTTCCAGGAGCTTGCAGTGTGCAAATACAAGGCCGAAGCTCAGTCCGTGGACTTTCAAACTAAGGTGACCCCCCTTCTTTACCTAGCCCGTTCCCAAAATGACGACAAGGTTTTCACCATAAAACAAATACATGGTAAAAAGGTTTGCTCGTTATCTATGGCATTATCATGTACAAAGTTAAATAACTATGGCATATGCCACTGTTTCTCCCAAAGTGCTTGTTTTGTGCTGATGTAATATAGTGGTATTGTGTTTATGCTGATATTTAGAAAAGCCTCAAGATTTGTTATAGTCCTTTTTCTTTTGAAATTAAGTGGTTATATCTGTACCACTGTTTTTAACACTAGAAGTTCTAGCACCGTTTTCAACTTTCTATAGTTACATACATATAGTATCTCGGTTGGTTGGGTAAAATAAAATAGATCTGTCTTAATACCCTACTGTTAAACCATTCAGGTTTATGCAATTTATTTTTGTGTAGCTCGTACTTGTAATATGCATGGAGTACTTATTAATCCCTTGGCATTTCTGTCCAACTTAATTATTGAAATGTAATTGTTGTTCATCTGAATTTATGATACCGTGGAAATATTCATCGTCGTGTTGTCATGTTGCTTATTGTGGTCCAGAGTAGTGTACATATAGGAGTATGTATAGCCGATATCTATGTGCTGAATTTTCCTAGGTATTGAAAAATGGTGCTTCGAGATGTTGTGATGACCATTTAATCAATTTCGTATGCACATATGAATATTTTTCTGTCGCCTGTGGTTGTATGTGATGATTTTACTATGTGTGTGAAACTTTATTATACATAGAAATGCTTTGTAAAACGTTAGTATTCTGCTTTGCATTCTTGGCAACTGTAATATTTTGTACTTTGAGAGATTTTTTTTCAAACTGGGTAGCACAATAGTGTTGTCAAATTATTTTCATTACATAACTAAGCTTTCTTTATTTTGACTTGGTCCAGGCCGCGAAAGTTACTGCTCAAGTGAACTCATGGGTAGAGAAAGTCACAACCGGTCTCATCAAAGATATTCTCCCCGCGGGGTCTATTAGCAACACCACTAGACTTGTTCTTGGCAATGCCCTTTATTTCAAAGGAGCTTGGACAGACCAGTTTGATTCACGTGTAACAAAAAGCGACTACTTCTACCTTCTTGATGGGAGCTCAATTCAAACACCATTCATGTACAGCTCAGAAGAACAATACATTTCTTCTTCTGATGGCTTGAAGGTACTTAAGCTTCCTTACAAGCAAGGTGGGGACAAGAGGCAGTTCTCCATGTACATCCTTCTTCCAGAAGCACCAAGTGGTATCTGGAGCTTGGCAGAAAAGTTGAGTGCTGAGCCAGAGCTCTTGGAGCGCCATATCCCAAGGCAGAAGGTTGCACTCAGGCAATTCAAGCTCCCGAAGTTCAAGATATCATTTGGAATTGAAGCATCCGATTTGCTCAAACATTTGGGTCTGCAACTGCCATTCAGTGATGAAGCAGATCTTTCGGAGATGGTGGATTCCCCAATGCCACAGGGCCTCCGCATCTCATCCGTTTTCCACAAAACGTTTGTCGAAGTGAATGAAACAGGAACCGAGGCTGCGGCAGCAACTATTGCTAAAGCAGTCCTGCTAAGTGCAAGTCCGCCCTCAGACATGGATTTCATCGCGGATCATCCTTTCCTCTTCCTTATCCGAGAAGACACTTCCGGTGTGGTTCTATTCATCGGTCATGTGGTCAATCCCCTCCGATCTTTGTAATGTGTTTGCTCTGAAGTGTCTTGTCATTTGCCTCGGCTGTTACATGTAAGGGCAGGGTTTGGACAATCAATCATGCTACCCATGCAATAAATCCAATAAATGTTCTATGCTTTTGATGAATCCTACACTCGTTTGTCGGCATATTATTTTTGTGGGAATTTTCTGTATCGAGGATTGGACCACCTTGACCCAAAATACTATCTATGCGATTACGTGCGAGATTGAGAGGCAGAGATGGTTCAACACACTCATTTTGACTTCTTCTTTTTTTTTGAAAGGAATAGAAAAAACACAATCAAGTTAAAGTCAAAACACATGAAACTGTAACTTGTCAAACATTGCAAAAAAGTGGTCCAAGTGGATGGTAAAGTTCCCTTTTCTTTAGAAGTGAGATTAAAGGAATTCCGACCACTTTTTGTTTGCTCAATTCACTGAACCAAGTACATAAATAGTGGTGCTGAATGAAAGAAAGAAAGAAAGAAAGAAAAATCCATTTTCCAAGCATGGGCGAAGGCCGAAGGCTCACCAACTACTGAATCACCAATCGTCCTATAACTGGAGCCGGACACTATTCCGCTGCTGATAGGAGTGGGGATCGAGCCTTAGAACAAGCAGGCAGCAAAAGGCGGTGGCCGCTGCCATGGGTTGCTGTGCAACCAAGACATTTCCAAGCTCGTCCTCAAGCCAAGCAATCCAACAACATTTTGGTACTACCAGCAGCAGAGATTCAAGATTGAAGCCTCCACACAGCATACAACATGGAAACACGGAGCATAAGCACTCCGTACCAATCAGTTGAATGAATGCATGATCATGAGCTTTGCACGAAAGACACAAAGAGAATGAAACCGGAGGCGGCAATGAGCTAACAGAGGCAAAGCCTATGCCACTGCCTTATTCATGAGTCCAAGCAAGTTGCTGCTTGTCCTACAATTATTCAGGTACGGAAGGAAGTTACCAAACTGGACAAATAAATAAATCAATCCTACAAGTCTACTTCGCAGTGGACCAGAACATGCTTGCTGCCTAGAAGACGGACGGAGCCTGCACCGGCCGGTAAGCCATTCTGTTGCCCAGCCACTCGAATAGGAACTCTAGATACCTGCACAACAGTGTTATTTGTCAAACCAATTGTGTCACTGATTGATTATTAGGCAAAAGCCATTAAAGTTATACGTACTATGTCAAAGCGTTTGCATAACATCAACTTCATCATTACAAGCCGGCAACAAAACCAGCAACTGGATGAGAGCTCTAGATACCTGCGGAACAGTCACTTGTCAAACCAATTTGCACCACTGGTTGATGATGCAAAAGCCATTAAAAGTCAAAGTTTGTATTGCTTGCAGGACTTCCATCAGACCTCCAAAGGTGGAATCAAGACCAACACTAAATCAGAGAAGGTTCAAAAAGGAAGAAAAAGGAACACTGCCTCATGGGCATATGTTTATATGAGGGATTCATGGAGTTGAAAGCAGATACATCTGCTTTCTGGCCCAAAGGCACATGTTTTAGAAGTGTAAGAAATATTAAAAGTTTAAATCAACCAAATCATGCAGCAGAAGCCTCGAGCAAGGGATCATGCATCGTATTATAAACTGATACTTCCTTCGGTCCAAAATAGACACTACTTTTTCGAACATTCTACAGCATTAAAGCTATCACAACTGCCAAAAGTTCCTCTGGAAGGCGAAGTCGCCTCTCAAGTGCCGGTTCTTCATTTGGTTGGCCCTTCAATATCGCTGTTGGACTACCAACCACCTTGAGCAACATCAGCAGAAAAACCCGGGCACATCTCCTCTTCGTGCATATCATCAAGAGATGGCCGAGCATCTTTCTGTGTGATGCCCGTAGATCTGCCAGATTTGGCTGAGCAATCCTCACTGAGCTGGCTGGCAGTGGTGGCTATCAAGGAAGAAGGAGGTGCACAAAGGGCCGCCGCAGAGATATCTGTGTGGAGCAAGAGGAGCAGCGGTGCTTTGTAAGGCGAGAGCACATACATGGACATGGTGTTGCCCAAGATAAAAGTGAAGGCAGATAGATGTGAGCATGCTTTCAACAATAATTTGCATTAACCACAGTTCCTTGAGAGTGAATTAGCCACATGAGGCTTTCTTGTATTGAATCAAAACCTTCTCCTTTTCTTAATGAAACACGTGCAGAGTTTTTGCACCTTCGCCCAGAAAAGTAAATCCAAAATTATAACTGCGGTGGAAGCATTTTTATATAAATCTATTAATATCATTTTGATCCAGTCATCAATTTAAAGATCTGTAGGAAGCAAAACTGAAGAACTGGACTAAACGACAACATGCTCGCATAGCAATCACTAGTTCATGAATAGGTATGTATCATTACTATTTAAAATGATCATCAATGTGAAAGGGCGTACTTATAAACATGTATACGTGAAGGAACTTTGAACTTTGAAGCCAAATGCTTGGTGTTGCTAATTATCAAATATTTACATTAAGGTGACAACTTTCGAGTCACAATAGGACCTGATACATCTGAGGAGCTATAGGGAGGAAAGGGAGAGTGTTTCATTGTATTATACATACTGCATAGCAAGGAACATTGTCATCTACGTGCAGTTAAGAACATGTGCACAAATTGGGAATGGGAAATGTCCAAAGTCATCAGTCATACTAGGGGCTATAGGGAGGAAACTGCCAAACATGAGAGCAGTAGCACTAGGGAAGAGGCAAATGGCTCAGGCGAGCCCTTTGTCTTTGGCAGTGGCGGCGCCCCGATCTGGAGCTGGGGACCTGGACTCGCCATGCCTCTCTTGAAGACCTCATGGTGGCATGGGGGAGCTTCCAAGCGAAAGCTCTGTGCTTTGTCGCCGGTGACGGCAACGCTCACGGGCGTCGTTATCTTCTTGAAGATGTCGTCGTGGTGCTCCTCTCCGTGCCTGGGTTCCGGGTGAAAACCCTTGTCCATGTGGACTCAACCGCGGCGACACCTGGCGTCGTTCCCCCTCCTGAGGGCATTGTCGTAGAGCTTAGGTGTTCTAGGGCGTTGTGTGGCGGTGTTCTCATGCCTTCTTGTGATATCTTTCGGTCTCGTAGTCTCTTGTGGTCTGCGTTCCCCGATTATCTTGGGATCGGCTTTGTAAAAGGGTCACCTCACCATCTTGTATCGTTCGGCCATGTACTCATTGTGGTTGTTGCTTTATTTACAAAGCGGCCTGTTTTGAGGGAAGAGGCAAACTGGTAGCAAGGCAGCTGGATGGACTGGAGGGTAAGCAAAAGAGTTCATCCAGGAGAGAGGATAGGAGGTAGGTGAAAGCGGTTGAGGGGAGGAATGGAGCTGCAAGATAAACTCATAAAAGGTGGATAGAAGAAGCAGCACCAGGATAAAAGAGCTAAGTGGCAGCCTGCCATAAAAGCATGACGGAAGGTGGGCAACAGCTGACACTAAGCAAAGGGTTGTCGGGAATTAGTACTCACTTGTAATTTAGCTAGTCACAAATGGTTGTAAAGGGGACATTTCCGTAAAAGAAGTAACAGTTATGAACTTATGATCCCTCGACTGAAAATACGAAGATAAGCTTACATTACCTGCTCAACCAATGTTATAGAGTCACCTTATGCATTGAATTGCACAGAAGTTTGGCTTCATCAGGTTCACTACCAATGTCTACAAGCATTAGCCAAAACATCCAATTATATTTAGACCAAATATATGATGGGATAACAACGAGATATTTACATAAGACAAAACTAAGAGAGGGAAAACACATTTTTCAACATTGGATAGATAAACACAAAAGCACATCTACTCCATTGCAAAGATTATTTATGAGAACGGTATAGATACTCAGTAATTTTCTAAAACGCAATGGCATGACATAATATTAGCTGATCAGAAAGAAGTAATCTAGAGTTGTTCTTAAGTTTGCCCTGTGTTATCTAAAGTTGATAAAATATAATATATTCAAACAAATAAATTTAAAGAACAAAGACGTAATGACAATTTATATTTAAATAACTTTAGCTTGAAAAGATAAAACATACTGAATTCATTTATCCTCTGGTACAAATAGACTCTGAAACTTGCGAAACTTCAAGTGATAAAAATGAACTTTATCTCGTAAAGATCAAAACCAGCCTTTATTATGGATTTAAGTTAGTAAGATCAATATAAATGGATCAAAGAATGTAACTAGTTTTAAACCTTTAAAGAAATTGATTGATCTTTGTATTCATGGTTTAAATTTATTTATTTTGTTCCTTGAATAAATTTAACATAAAATGCTTGCTACCTCTGACTTAAACCACATAGTTTGACAATCATAAAAATAATAATACCATGAACAATACGATTATCTATTTAAATAACCCATGGAGCAGCAAAAAAAAAAACAGTCGACAGATATTTAATTTATATTAGTCTAATCTAACAACAAGGATGTGAAAAACTTTCCATCAATCAATTATATATAGAAAATTACTTAGTTACTACCTGCAGTGTAGACACTTGTGAATGGATGAACCAGACAGTAAAATGTATGTATGGGAGGCTTGTACACTTCCAGTGACTCAAGCTGGACCATGAAAATACCGTGATATGTCCATATAAACACCACATTATTGTCCTCGCAATACCCGAGCATCATTGGGCCCATTTTCCTTTTATCTATATAAAGAAGTTCCTCCAATCCAATGGTCTTCCCCAGCACCCATGAAACAACCCCATCACGGTCGACCTTCCTTTTCCACAAATGGAGGTTGGCGTCTAACAGCTCAAGGACGCCAAGCTCACCGCCGTCCACGGGCACAGCCCGGAAGGTCCGGCTGCCATTCCTCCTACACTTGCCCAAGCAGGGTAAGTGTATGACAGCCAGGTGTTGTGTATCCAAATCAAACTGAGCAAAGGGACCAGTAGAGGGAATTCCCAACCAGGGTGCTGGAAACACGCATCTCAATCATGGTGGTTACGCCGCTCGTGAAATCCGCGGATACCCAGATTGGATCGCCCCATTCGCCGGGTCGATG